TGTCATCCACTTGGAAGGGGATCTATGTAGGAGACCCTTGATAGAGAGGGAGAACAATGTGGAACAAAACTCAAAATCATTTGGAGGAAAAAAAAAAAAAGTGAGGACCAGTTTTGCTGCTCTGATAGAGCCTGGTGGAACCACTGAAACTATGGCCCCTAGCTGCCCTTCAGGTCTGGAATTGAACCCACACCTATGGTTTCCAGCCAAACCAAATACAGGCATATGAGTTGAACATTTACCTCAAGTAGATACTCTCCTTGGAGAGAACATCATGGGAGAAAGATGGGCTGCTTATGCACAGGGAGACAGCTCAGAGGGAAGGGCTGTATGGAGGGATGGACAGTGGGAAGAGGTAACTATGGGGAAGAAGAGGGAGGGGAGCTGTTGCATTGTGGTAAACTGTGGTCAATGGCATGAGACAAAGTGTATGTGAACTGCTGTATGTAAAGTGAATTTGCTCTGTAAATCTTCACCGAAATCACAATAAAAAAAAAAAGATTGCTCTGTAAATCTTCACCGAAATCACAATAAAAAAAAAGAAAAAAGAAAAAAAAATTCCTTGAATCAAATGAGAATGAAAACACAGCATACCAAAATCCTTGGGGCACAGCAAAAGCAGTGATCAGAGGCCAATTTATAGCAGTAAATGCACAAGTCAAAAAAAGAGGAAAGAGCCAAAATTAATAGAGCTTCCAGACTAAGATGGACTAGGAAGAAAAGGCTGGCAATATACTTCTGAAAATCACCCAGTGAAAACCCTGTGGATCACAACAATGTAAGTCCTGCACAGGTCTGGGCAGTGTTTTGTTCCATTGTGCATGGGTTCACCATAAGTCAGGGTGACTCAATGGCAGCTAACAACAACAATAATAGATCTTAAAATAGCAGCTACCATTTTGTGAGTGTTGTGTTTTGTGGGTTGCTTTACAAACAGTATTTCTAATCTCAATAAAGCCTATAAAGTAGATATTATTCCTATTTTGCACATGAGAAAATGGAAGTTTAGAGAGAAAGTAGAAGAGAGATGTATAAAAGGATTGCTGTGCGACACTGAGAACCTGTTTGTAATGGCACCAGTCCTTATGCCTATGGAATTTATTCTCTAAATTCCAGGTGTAGGAAGAAAGAGAGTAAGGGTGAGTTGAAAGGTAGGACTGGTAATTTTCAGAATTCTGCTTGTTTTCATGGTCTTCCTTTTTCTTTTTTTTCCTTTTCTTTTTTCATAAGATTATATGGATAGTGACATTCTCATCTGCAATTTTTCTGGGACTGGACGTCGGACTACTTGTTTCAATAGCTTTTGCCTTCTTCATCATCACCGTTCGGTCACACAGGTACTCAGGGAATAGGAGGCGAGGCAGAGGAAGGCAAGACAATTTTGACCTAATGGCAAGTACTTTTTCTTTTCAGATCTAAGATTTTCCTCCTGGGCCAGATCCCTAACACCAACATTTATAGGAGCATCAGTGACTATCGGGAGGTAAGACTCTAAATCAGTACCACTTCTGCACCCAAGGGTTGTGAGCCAGGCCGGATGCTTAGTTTGTCCATGGAATTTCTTCACTGTTGTTTGCTGCACCACACATACCTATTTAAGAAAGAGGGGCAAGGGATGTACAAGGGTAGAGGCAGGAACTTCAGCAGGCAAATCTTTATAGTACTGCAGCCAACTGGTGAAGGATTCTTTAAAGATATATTCCAGGGAAAGAAAGACCAAGAAAAGGGAGTAAAGCAATGGAGGGAAGAAGAAGAAAACAGGAAAAGCAGGGGGCTAGAAGTGGGAAGAAGGAATTTTCTCATTCTGGCCTCTAATAAAGAAGAGTATAGATTCTCCAGGAGGTCCTAAGGAGATTCCCCCCCCCGCCCCAACTATCACTGCTATTTATTTCCATAATTTTTTTATCACCCCAAACAGAAACCCACTAAGCAATAGCTTCCCGTCCCTCCATTCCCTCCAGCCTCTGGTAATCTAATACTTTCAGACTCCATGAATTAGTCTGTCTAGATACCTCATGGGAACTCTGGTAGCATAGTGCCTAAGGCACTTGACTGCTAACCAGAAGGCTGGCGGTTCAAACCCACCAGCCACTCTTCAGAAGGAAACCCAAGGAGGGGTCGCTATGAGTCGGGTCTGACTCGATGGCAAATAACAACAGATACCTCATGTAAGTGGGATCATGTAATATTTGTTCTTTTGTGTCTGACTTACTTCCCTCAGCATAATGTTTTCAAGGTTCATCTACATCATAGCACATGTCAGAACTTCATTTCTCTTTATGAGTGAATAATATTCCGTTGTATGGACAGCATGCATTTTGTTTATCCATTCATCTGTTGATGCGTAGTTGGGTCTAAACAGTTTTTATTCTTAGTCCATAAAGGAGCTGAGAAATTTCCCTCAATTTAACATTTTATCTTGCAGATTACACACATTCCTGGGGTGAAAATCTTCCAGTGCTGCAACTCTATTACATTTGTAAATGTTCACCACCTGAAGTACAAGCTGTTAAATGAAGTAACTGCTGTCCTCTTCCATCTTTCTCTCCCTGCCCTGTACCCCTCACCTCACCCTTTTGCCTTCTTTTCCACCCCTCACCCTCAGTATATTATCCCTTTTGTATTTCCAGACTGATATGATAAGGGTGCGTCTTAAAGAAGAAGAAATTTTCCACCTGTTTGGTAACAGTGGTCGTAACTCCAGAGACCCAGAAAGGGGTTGTAAGTGTTCCTGCAACTGTGATGAACCAGAGCCACCGCCCAGGGTTAGAAACTCCTTTCTTGCATTGTTCTCACATTTTATAAGATGCATCAGCAGTTTCTAGAAACAAAATCCAAACCCCTCAAGGATTTTGACTTTCAGATGAACCACAGAAAACAGGAAATCAAAGGTTTCTACTCAGAAATAAAAACTTTCAGGTTTTGACCTGAAAGTAGGTAGGAGAATCGGTTCTGAATCTTTGATCCCCTACTCTATGGAGAGTGACTTGCATGAGTGTAGAAAGTACTGTCTGCCTGTTGAGAGTGTCAGTAATTCCCTGGTTGAGTCTACTTCCCTGGCTTTTTAGCTGACCATTAGATTCCTGAAAATAAGTGACTCAGAGATTGTTGTTCACATCCAGCTGGGGCAGGGTCAAGGGCTGGGGGTCCCCTGATGTCTGCCTATGACCAGGGAAATGATGGCAGAGGGTGCAAGTAGGAGCACCCAGTGCAGGTCACTATTCCAGATAAGGATTTTATAGCACCTGGAAGGTATTTTCATAGCGACCCGGTGAGTCGGAATTGACTTGATGGTACTGGGTTTGGTTTGGTATGGTTTTGGAAGATATTTTAGCTGAGGAGAGTTACAAAATGTTTGTTATTTCCAACTATGTGCCTTAGGTCCATCTATGTTGTTATGATTCTCCCAGGTAGAGTGTGATCCCTCCTGTGAAAGCAGAGTCCACATTCACATCATTTTTGTCATTGTATCTCTAGTGCTTGATTCTGGGCTTAAACTATAGCAAGCTTTTGAGGCCTATTAGGGAGATAAAAGGAGTGAGAGGTAAAGACTGCCCTTCCCAAGTCTTTTTTGTCTTCTTCAGGAATTCTGATGGTTGCCTTGATGAAAGGAGGTATCGAGAAAAGGGCTTGATGGAAGAAATACTCAAAGTACTAGTCAGCACTGGAGACCAATTGGAACCTAGGGATGAGGGAAAAGAGTAAATCAATGATGATTTTAAGTTTGAGTCACTAGAACAATAATAATATCATTGATGGACATAGGAAAGTTGGGAGGGGGATGCCATGAATGGTGACAATAAGAGATGAATGTGGTTTTAGTCATGAGCTTGATATGAGAGTCAAATGAACAAGTGAAAATGGCCAGAACCTACTCTGGGGAGAAGCTTCCTAAGAGAGGAAGTGAGCTGGCAAATGGAAGCAGCAGAGTGGCAAGTACTTCCAGCCTTTGTCTGAATCCTCTCACAGTTATCCCCTAACTCTGTTATCTCAGATTGTCTACACAGAACGATTTGATCGTAAATCTAGTCAGTCTTCCTCCTCAATTGACCTGATCCGCTGCTCACGCTTCGAGAGCACGACCACAAGCCAATCTACTACGTCTGATGAGCAAGTGCCATACACCATATCTTCAGTTTCTCAGAGGAATCAAGGACAAAACTTGGAGGAGGTGGAGAAAGTCTGGGGGCCTAAACACCCCTTGAGAATCAGCTCGCTATCACCGACTGAGACTGCTGAAGGTCAGGGAAGGAGTGGATCTCTCCTCCCTTACTCAGATGTTTCTCTTCTGCCCGCCATCCACACCATCATCCTGGATTTCACCATGGTCCATTTTGTAGACTTAAAGGCTTCAGTGGTATTAAGACAGGTAAGTACTGAGGAGGCTTTAGCAAGAGCTCTGATGTCCTCCTCCTCCCACAGCCCAGATCCCTATCAAATCCTGTTAGTCTCTGATTTGCTGCTATGTGATTAATTACTCAGCCACCAGAAACTTAGACACTGGAGTAGCTTAAGATCAATCAGAATAAAAAGGAAATGAATCAACTTTGAGAGACTAGACTCTGGAGTTGGTTCAGTAAGCACAATACATTATTATTTCTTGGGAATAAAAAATAGGAAACTCTTAATGCCATTGAAACAGCAATCCTCACCATGCCCAGCAACTCCCAGCATATTGTGGGAGTTAGCTGTGTATCTTTTCAAGAAATATCTGAATGCTACAGAGATATGTTCACTAAGAATTCTCTACTACTTAGCTGCTCTGAACCAGGCACCATAAAACACACTAGGATGCATTTTACTCAGAGATGGAAGAGTTGTGATAAAGTGACACACCAAACCTGAGGCTGCCTGTCCACTACCTTTATTGTCTTCCCAGGTTCCCTTTTCATGGTCTGAGTCTTTGGCTGAGAAGAGCAGAGCAGCTGTTTTCCTGGTTCCTGGTTTCTCTCCTACTCTCTGGTTTCTCCGACTATTCTCAATGCTCTTCTTCTTGTATACTACAGATAATTTAATTGCACAAGTAACCCTGTTGGTTTCATTCATAATGTCTCCAAGTACTTGCCACTCTGCTGCTTATATACTTATATATCCTTTCTGGCTCTGCATGTACTTTATCTCACTCTTGCTCCTTTGGCTGATTTTCTTTCTTTTATCCTCAAATCAGATTCCATCATACCTTCTTATTCCTAAAGAAATCCAGTTCACTCTTAAATGAGTCCAGTCTCTCTTTGGTTTGAGACAATAGGAAACCTTTCACAGCAGCAAGAACTCTGGTTGGTGGTCTAGAGATGTATGCTGTGCCCTGGGTTTGCTACTCATGGTCCATCTTGACCCAAGGCAAGTTGCTAAATTGCATTGGGTCTCAATTTCTTCATCGATAAAATGAGATGTTTACCAGAGATTAATGTTAAGTGCTTTTCATCTTTTAGGTCCCCCCCATCCCATTCCCACCCCCACATTTTTAGATTTAAGTATACTTGATATTCTCTTGTCTTTGGGATTTTTCCATTTTAGGTGCTTGCACTGGGCTGTGCTCTCTCTCCCAGTCTTGCACTGCTACTTTTGATTTCATTCCATTCACATTATGAAATGCCTGCTATGTGCCAGCCTGAGTTGGGTACATTTATACACTGTCTCACTTAATTTTCACAACATCCCTGAGAGATAGATAGCCTGTATTCTCCTTTAAGCTATCAGGTAATAAATGGCCGGGCCTGGACATGAATTTAGAGCAACTAACTTTACATCACTCTTCCTGCCTGTTCCACAGTGCAGTTATGTCATCTCTCCCCTCCTTTTTTTGTGGTGTCTCCATATGTTCTGATCCTTAACATCACCCATCCACACCTGCCTTCTGTTGATGACTTTCTGCTCCACCCCCAACATGGAGGCAGTGTCAGACACCTCTGCCTTATATCCTGCAGAGATTCACAGTGTACTTCTACATTTTAAAAATGCAGTGTTCTTCATTTCCTTTACAATTGCTTTCTATGCCTTACTGGAAGAAATCATTATATGTTGTTCACTTTATAATTGAAAATTTAAACCCACTAAGAAAAATTCCAGCAGGCCATTCTTATTGGAGATAGCCACTCAATTTTAGTTTCTTCATATATCATGAAATTTACCATTTCCATTTGTTTATCATTTAGCGTGTGTCCATAGTGACCCTTCACCAGTGACTTTATGATTTACTACATGATCAAGAATGACTTTCTTGTTTCCACTTAGTACTATCTGTTTTGTTTCCTTTGACATTTTAACTTAGTGCTCAGGGTTAGATGTGGATTCTATTCAATCTTGGAGTATTAAGGTTAATAATGGTTTGCTTTGAGGTGAACGTCAAGATTTATTGCCCCAGGGCATATGTAGTGGCTGAAGTAAATTTGAGGTCAGTATCTGATGTTTGGAAGAAAGACCTGGTGATCTGCTTTAGGAAGATCATAGCCATTGAAAACCCTAAGAAACACAGTTCTACTCTGATACAGATGGGGTCATCATGAGTCAGAATTGACTTGATAGCAACAGGTTTGGTGTGGGTATCTGATATTTACTAAAGTTAAAGGGAACTCTGCAGAGAAGCTCTGAATATAACCCTCAGAATTTCAAAATTTCATCTCCTACTGTACCACTTGGCCATCTGTGGGCCACGTTTTGCCTACTCTGTTCAGTGAACTCCAGGCAGAAGGGATCACATGCAAACACTAGGCAATAATATGAGGAAATGGTTCTTCATGAGGATTCTCTAGTGTGTTCCTTTCACACCTGTGCCACTTCTGTCCTGGTACTTTCCTTACATAAACATTGTCTATTTATATGAACATTTTCCCCATTGAGACTATGAGAAGCCCTCTTTGTCACTTCCCACCTCCACAGAAGACAGCCTGAGCCTCTTTTGTATTCCTAGCACTTCAGACATTTCCTGGCATATAGAATCCACTGATCAAATGTTTTGGAGCTAAATTGGAATGTAAAGCTATATGCATTTCAGACAAGTGAACAACCAAAGGAGTTTTAAAATTCAGCAATTAGCAGGCCCTTTTCTATTTGATAAGACACTCTGGTGGCGTAGTGCCTAAGACATTTGACTGCTACCCAGAAGGTTGGTGGTTCAAACCCACTAGCCACTCCATGGAAGGAATACTGGGTAATCTATTTCCATAAAGATTTACTGCCTTGGAAACCCAGTGGGAGTTGCTATGAGTTGGAATTGACTTGTTGACAATGAGGTGGTTTTTTTTTTTTTTTCCTCTATTTGATCATGAAGCTCCCTAACACTGATTTACTTTCTCCCCACAGATGTGCAGTGCTTTCCGAAACGCCAACATTTTGGTGCTCATTGCAGGGTGTCACTGTGAGTATTCTTCACCTTATGAGAGGGCTATGTTTTGCACCCTGGTACTCCCCAGGTGTCTGACTCTGTGTGTGTTCTGGGTTTGGTTTGTAGCTTCTGTGGTCAGGGCATTTGAGAGGAACGATTTCTTTGATGCTGGCATCACCAAGGCCCAGCTGTTCCTGAGCCTCCACGACGCCGTGCTGTTTGCCTTATCAAGGAGGATGCCAGACTCCTCCGAGTTAAGCGTGGATGAATCTGAGACAGTGATACAGGAAACCTACTCTGAAAAGGTTGGATGATGTCAAGCATCTGGGGTTGGGATGGGGAGTAAGGCCTGATCAGAAAGATATGAACAGTGTCCTGGAAAAGTTGTTTAGTATGGTTATGCCAGATTTTTAATGTTGAAATGATCTATTACTAATTCGCAAGTAGCAGTGAAATTGAGCCCCCAGGTGTCCCTACTGTCATGGCATCTTTGTCATTCACAACCCTTTCCCAAGTAAAGACTGGGTTTACCCACCCTAGCAAGGGGGCTAAGGATCCTCATAACACAAGGACTAAATACTTACAATATCTTTCCTAGCTATATCTCTAGAATCTACCCCCTCTTCCACTCTTGGGATGAAAAACGAGGTAATTTGTGAACTAACAGAAATGATGAAATAATAAACTAATAGAACGGTAAACTAATGAACTAACTAACATGTAAAGCTCTGAGTACCTAGCTGACTCTGCCAGCTGCCAGTCTAACACTTTGGCTATTATTTAGATTGTGAGTGATAAGAGCTTAACTCAACCTGGTCAAATGCAAAGGTGAATGACATATAAACCAGAATTTCTAGCCATCAATGGGAACTTTGGTGGCATAGTGCCTAAGGCATTTGACTGCTAACCAGAGGGGATATCACTACGGAAGTAGATTACTGCCTCAGAAACCCAAGGAGGGGTCACTGTGAGTCAAATCAACTCAACAGCAGTGAGTTTTTTACTATTAAGTAAAGGCCTAGGCTTACTTCTTGTGTTTTCAAATAAGTTGTTTATGTAAGTTAAAAGTCCCCCTCCCCCCCCAAAAAAAAGGAAATTAAAACACAGATTGGCACTGAAATACTATCTGATGACTAGAAATTACTTTAAAATTAACCCGAGTCTTTCTTTAACTTAACACATTTCGATATTTGCATTTTTTATGGCAAGAAAGTATTGCCATGGTAATGTTTTAAAAAAAAATCCAGGAAGTGGAAAAGTAAAATTATTCAAGCTTGTACATGACCTTTATCTTCCTTTCTTTTTTTTTTTCTTTAATTTTTATTGTTAGTAATTAATTACCAATTATTTTCCTTATGTTATTGAGATTTCTCAAGCTAGGTGCCTTTGCTTATCCAGAACAACACCTCCCCCAGCTACATTTAAACATATATATATATATATATATATATATATATATATATATATATATATATATATAATTTATTTATTTATTCCCCTATTCTGCTCTATAGACCATTCCATTTATAAAATCACAAAACTTTTAGCTGGATGGGACCTCGGAGCTCATTAAGTTCAAATCCCCACCTGTAGCAAGAATCCTCATGACAATGTACATCTCTGACAGGAGTTCCTCTTGCTTATGCTTGGAGACTTGAAGTAGTTCTCAAACTTTAGTATTCATCAGAATCACCTAAATGTACTATTAAAACACAATCTCCCCAATTTCTGATTCAGAGGGTCTGGGATGGGGTCTAAGAATTTGTATTGCTAACATATTACCAGATAATATTGATATCCCTGAGCCACACCTGAAGAACTCTACTGCCTTAGAGATTCAAACTGCATCCTTCACTATCACAATCTAGTGTGCTTGGTCATCTCTGGGTATATTCCAGACATTGTATTTAGAATATGTTTATAGAAATAATTTAAAGCCTAAGATGATATTTTTCTTCTTGAAAGAATTTGATTTTTTTCAGTAGGCACCAACAATCCAGGGTCACTTGGATCTGGTTTCAGGATTTGAGATTTTCTAGGCCATACAGATGACCCAAAGCCCAGCTGAAGTCTGTGGAAAGGTTTACCATAGCCCCTCCCTGACCAGGCCCTGGCATCCAGTTTTTGCAACTCTAACCATCTAGAGACAGAGAGCCCTGGTTGCATAGTGACTGCTAACCACAAGGCTGATGGTTCAAACCCACCAGCCACTCCCTGGAAGGAAGGTTGGGCAATCTACTTCCATAGTGATAGTGCCTCAGAAACCTAAGGAGGGGTCACTATGAGTAGGATCCGACTCGACGGCAGTGAGTTGGTTGTGGGTTGGTTGAACCTCTTAGAGCTGTCAAAAGCACCACTCAGCATTTCTGTGTCACTTCCAGACCCTAGGATAAAAGTGGCCCCAAATGCCAGGTTCACCTTTCTAGATTTCTGCCTTTTCCAAAATCTTGGCCTAGTAATTCCTCATGACCTTTGTGGTATCTTCAGTCAGAAGTGGTTTTTTGTTTGTTTATTTGTTTTAATATTTCACCCAGATCTTCCAGTTGTCTTCAGTGGAAGAAAACTAAAAAAAAAACTCACTTCCTTCCAAGGAGAGGCCGGTGGGTTTGAACCACCAGCCTTCTGGTTAGCAGTCAAATGCCTTACACACTATACCGCCAGAGCTCCTACAGTGGAAGAATTGGTCTAAATTATACAATCTGCCTTTATTCTAAGTGGACATTTCTGTATATTTTTATATGTAATTATGATACCAAAACCCACTGCCATTGAGTTGATTCTGACTCATAGCAACCCCCATCAGGTTTCCAAGGCTATAAATCTTTACAGAAGTAGATTGTCTCAGTTTCTTCCTGTGGAGCAGCTGGTTGGTTCAAACTGCCAACCTTTTGGTTAGCAGCTCAATGCCTTAACCACAGTGCAACCAGATCTTCACTATAATTATGATACTTACATTAAAATTATGACATACTTGTTTTTACATTTTATGTAGTCATATCTATTGATCTTTTCTTTTCATTTGCTTTTTATGTTTAGAAGTCTTTTCTACTTAGAAAATAAATAAATAACATTTTCTTCCAGATAGTTTTTATTTTTTTGTTATGTTTTAAATTCAGTTATAATTTATTTCAGCATATAGTGTTGAAGAGTAATCTTTATTTTTTATCTATAGTGCTATTTTGAACTATATCATCTATTGAATAAGCTATCTTTCCCTCACTGATTTGAGATTCTGTTTTAATTAAATATTATATTCTTAAGAAATCTAAACTATTTTGAGCTTAATTTTTGGGTCATTGTTCTGTATAGCTTCAGTATCACAGTGTCCTGATCTCTATTCATTTATAGTATGTGTTAACGTTGGGTTAGAAATCCCAGTGTCATCAGTGTTCCATTTTAAAATATGCTTAGTCATTCTCATTAATTTACTGTTCCAAACCAATTTTTGAATTTTTTGCCAGGTTCCTACAAAAACAAGAACAACAACAACAACAAAATCTGTTGGGCTTTTCATTAGAATTTCATTAAAGTTATAAAATAATTAGAGAATTGCTATCTTTACAGTATTTTTTTCTCCCTCTTAAGGAAAATAGGCTGTCTCTACACTTTTTCAGCCTTGTTAAATGTTTCATAGAAAGTTTTGTGGCTTTTTCATATTGACAATCCTAGCTACTTTTTATTTTATGCTTTTATTGCTTTTTTAAAGTGAATCTTCTTTTCCATTGTATTTTCTAACTGGTAATTGCTAGCCTACAGGAAACCTATTGATTTTTATAAAATTATTTGGCCACCTTTCTGAATCCTCTTACTAATCCTAAGAGGAGTTTCATTATTAATTCTCTTAGGTTTTTCTACAAACAGTATTAATCTCTTACTTTCCAGTTACTGGAATTCTTATTTCAGTATCACATACTATTGCATTAGCTTGACATTCCAGAACAATTTAAGAAATAATGATAGTGTTGTCTTACTCCTGAATTTAATGAGAATAGTTTCTTATGTATCTCCATTAAGTTTATTGGTGACAGCTAGCTTTAAAAAAAAGTATTTTTCTGGTTTCTTAATATTTCAATCAGGACTTATATCAGGATTTGGCATTGAATATATTGATTTTTTCTGGTATTTAAGAAGGGAAGACTAGGAGAGGAGCAATTTCTATTTAGATGTATTAAATTTAAGATACCTTTTAGACATCCAAGTGGAGATGTCAAGAAGGCAAATAGATATATGACCTTGCAGGTCAAAGGAAGGATTATAACCAAAGAGTCATTGGAACACAGATGGCAGTAAAAAATTATAGGACTAAATGATGTTACCTATGGTTAGAGTGTAGACAGAGAAAAGTCCCAGGATCAAGCAGAGAATGCAACAAAGAGAACAGGAAGAAGGAATCAGAAAAGTAGAAGGAAAAACAAGAGAGTTATTTCAGAAAGGGTAAGAGTGGTTAATTCTGTAGAATGCATATTCCGCAGATCAGTTGTGGGGCACTTACTATATGACAGGCTTAGTGCCTGGTACTGAGGATATCAAGAGCCACACACTGCCCTACCTCAAGGAGTTACAATCTAATAGCGGAGATAGGTTTGTGAGTAAATAAGGCAATATATTACTGGTACTATGATAGAAGTGTCAGTAGTGTATGGGAACACAAAGGAAGCTGTGATCCTGATTGTTTGTCTTTGTGTATGAGATGAAGACAAGGCAGATAAAGGGAGCAGCATGAGCAAAGGTAAGCAGTAGTCAGGTATCTTTGGGTAACTTTATAGCTAGAGCAAAGGGTGGGGACCACAGCTGGAGATAAAGCTTAAAGAGATGGCAAGAGGCCAGATCATGAAGGCCCTTACATGCCCTGCCAAGGTTTCCATTGTGGGTTGGCAAAACAAGATCAAGATGTTTCAGAATGCTGTCAAGACCACTGCTGTTTAAATGGTTGACCGTGAGATCCAGGCTAGTTAAAAAAGCTGAAGAAATCAGGAGTTAGGGATTGATGGACCTGAAGAATAGTGAGGAACCAGAGGGTACAAAAAGGAAAAAAGCAGATTTAGGCAAGAATTTTTTCTATCTTGCCAGAAACCTATGGTTCTGGCACCTTAAATCCTGAAATTCTTTGTGCTCAAAAGTCAAATTTAATAGGAAATTTTAACCTAACTAATTGTGTGTATTTCAGAATGAAGAATCAAGGTATGGAATGAGAAACAGTAATATAGAAATCCCAGAAAATAGAGTCGTGGAAGAGTCAGAGTTTGAGCCCATATTAGAGTCGGAACAAGACAATGAGCTGGATTTGGACCTAGACCTGGATCAGGAGCTGGAGCTTGAGTATGGGCTACAGCCTGAATCAGCACTGGAGCCTGAAACTGAGGTGGAGACTGAGGCGGAGCCCGAGCCTATGCCCAAACCCAGGTCAAGGGCTTATACCCATTCTCCGCAGTACTGCTTGTCTCCACATAAGACTGCAGTTCCCAGGCCCCAGTCTCAGACTCACCCTCGGATACAGTCAGTGGAAAGGAGGCATCAACATATGGACTTACACTCATCCAAGGGCAATGATACTGAGACTCCCTGGGGGAAAGACTGGATCTAAGGAGACAGGGTCCCTTGGCAAATCCTCCCCACCCAAACAGCAATTGCTTAGTCAGGAAACCTAGACTTCATACAAATTAGCAGTACTTGCTCCATCTGCTTGCTTTCTTCCACGCTCAGCACTGGGATCACACTCTGAGATCACAATACTAAATGCTAAGAATTATCTCTGAATTCCTGATCCAGGCTTACTTCATTTCACATTCAGCAGATATTCTAGTAAAGGTTTTCCTTCTTCACACACCACACAAGACCATCTCTAACTCCTCGCATCTCTGTGCCCCCTTTTGCCAAGGAGATGAGACTCAAATAAAATATATAACTCTAGTTACATTTGGGAAGACTTTGGATCTTTCCTGCACCTTCTCCCTTATCTTTATTCTTTATCCCCAAGGAAATGGATATGGTGGAGAAGCAATGAACAAGTAAAAGAAAAACTGGACAGGAATCACATTTTATATGCAAGATATTTTCACTGCAGTGATGGGGGAAATGGGGGTAGGTAGGTTAAGCCAGGTCAAAGGTAAGCCAGCCTGTGAGATTTGTATTACAAATTGTTCAGCTGAAAGCATTTTTGCTATCACTCCCAGAGCTCGGGATCTTATTTGCCACAGGTTTTCTAATGCATACCAACTATTAAGAATGTTATTGTTGTTGTTATGTGCCATCGAGTTGGACTCATAGCGACCCCTCCTTGGATTTCCGGGATGGTATCACTATGGAAGTAGATTGCCCAACCTTCCTTCCAAGGAATGGCTGGTGGGTTTGAACCGCCAGCCTTCTGGTTAGCAGTCAAATGTGGCACTATACTACCAGAGCTCCCTTTAAGAATGTTAGCTCTATGGAACTCTCTCTGGTCTTCAGATTCACATCCACCACTGCTTCTTTCTTTAATATTTTCTTGTGTTTTCAGTGAAGGTTTACACAGCAGTTTAGGTTCCCATGCAACAATTTCTATCCATATCATTTAGTGACTTTGGTTACATTTTTCACAATGCATAAACTTTGTCCATATTTCTGGTTCTGGTTGTTCTGTTTCCAGTAATCTAGTTTCCCTGCCCCCTTACCTTCTCATCTTTGTTTAAAAGTAATTGATAATCATTTGCTCTCATTTAGATGATTTTTTAAAGGAAGACAGTACTCATGGACAATATTCTTTGCTTTGTGAGCCAATCTGTTACTTACCTAAAAGTTAATCGCAGAGGCTAGTTCAAATTCAGGGTTTGAAGAGTATATCAGGGCAATAGTCGTGGGGAGTCCTGCAGTCTCAACTAGTCCGGGAAATCTGTTTTTTGGTTCTGTTTTTTAGGAATTTGAGGTTCTGTTACATATTTTTCTCCCATTCTGTCACAGTCAATCTACTGTGGCCCTGATCATGGTTCATGTAGACTATTAGTCCGATAGACTAGTTTCTTCTTTGAGTCTTTGGTTTCCATCTTTCTCTTTTGCTCTGGGTGAGTAGAGACCAATAGTTGTATTTCAGATGGCTGCTCACATGCTTTTAATACCCCAGGTGCTACTCACCAAACTGGGATATAAAATATAAACTTTTTGAACTATATTATGCCAGTTAACCAATATGTCCCATACACTGCTTCAGCTTCATTCTTACAGGTTTTTTTTTTTTTTCTCCCAATTGTGATTTGGGTGAAAGTTTACAGAGTAAATTCACTTTCCATACAGCAGCTCACATACACTTTGTCTCATGACATTGACTACAATTTACCACAATGCAACAGCTCCCCTCCCAATTCCTACCAATAGTTACCTCTTCCCTGTGTCCATCCCTCCATGCCCTCCTGCCCCGAGCAGTCTCCCCGGTGCATAAACAGCCCTTCTTTTTCCCATGATTGTTCTCTCCAAGGAGTGTATCTACCTCAGGTAAATGTTCAACTCATATGCCTGTCTTTTGTTTGGTTGGAAGCCACAGGTATGGGTTCAATTCCAGACTTGAAGGGCAGCTAGGGGCTATAGTCTCAGTAGATCCATTAGGCTCTATCAGACTAGCAAACCTGGTCACCGCCCCCTTTTTTTTTCCAAATGATTTTGAGTTTTGTTCCACATTGTTCTCCCTCTCTATCCAGGATTATCTACATAGATCCCCCTCTGAGTGGTTGCCAGTGGTAGCCAGGTACCATATAGTTCTTCTGGTCTAATAGTCGTATAGGCTGCAGATCTCATAGTGTACCAGTCACTAGGTCTGATTATTTCCATGAATCTTTGGTTTTCTTCATTATTCTTTGCTCTGGATGAGGAGAGACCCATCATTGCATCTAGATGGCTGCTTGCAAGCTTTTAAGATCCCGGTCGGTACTTGCCAAAGTAGAAGGTAGAACAATGTTCTTTGTAGTATCTTACACCAATTGAGCTTGATATCCCCTGTGACTATGGTCCCGAGCCCTCAGGTTCAACTACTTGCTCCCTCTGGGTAGCTGGCTGTGACCAAGAAGTGACTACAAACTTGTCCCTTATCAGCTCTACTACACACCTGGGAATTCTTACAGAACATACAAATACACTTGTAGAACCATTGTCTTCCAACCCTATACATGGTCTTGGGTACACTCTCCACTGCATAGGCCTACCTAATACTTCAGCCTGTCCACTCATCTATCCACCCATATACCCATGTTTGCTTTCATTGACAACACAGTACTGTATGTGCAAAATAGTTCATGTTTGTTGTCTGCACCTCCCATGTACCTCTCTCTGTCTTCCTCTTCCTCACTGGTGCCACATTGGTCACTCACATTTGGTACATTGCCCTTCTCTTCACCCAAATCAATACTCATCTCTACCTATCTAACAGTGTTCCCTCCCTTCCCCTCCTACCCCTGGTAACCAACAAAGAAAATTTCCTTCCATATAGAAACCTTTCCTTGACTTTGTACAATAATGAACTAATACAATATTTGCCCTTCTGTGATTGACTTATTTCACTCAGCATAATGTCCTCCAAGTTCATCCACGTTATCCAATGTTTTGCAAATTCTACATTATTCTTTAGGATTGCATAGTATTCCACTGTATGTATGTGGCATAGTTTGGTTATCCATTCCTCAGTTGATAGACACCTAGGTTGTTTCCACCTTTTGGCTATTGTAAATAGTGCTGCGATGAACATGGGTGTGCCTATGTCTTACAGGGTTTTGGGATATAAAGAATCTCTAATGTTGATAGGCCAAACTTAATTAAAATCTGTGATGGGCAAATCTCCTAGGAGTTGGAAAAGCCAGTCATTACTAGTTTTGTCCAAATCTCTTTCACCATTAAAAAGGAAAATCTAGTATTAAGCTATGACATGAAGAGAAATACAGAACCCTGAGCAAGGGTATATTAAACCCTAAATTTTATTTCAGTTTAGTAAACAAGAGTCCTCTTGCTTAATTTCTCATTTGTTAGATGAAATAAATCCTTATTGAAATTTAGATTTCTCTTATCACAGAGATATCATATCCATTCACTCATTCTAAAAGAATTTACCAAGTATTTGCTACAGGCATAGAACCCCAAACTGTGGGACAGATAAAACAATATTATCCTTACTCTACACATAAGTAAACTTAGACTCTCGTAAGTTTTGTAACTAGTCCAAGGTCATATACAATTGAATCCTAAAATAACTGGGGGTCCAACTCAGAAGCTTCATTCATTTATTTGTGTTCATTCAACGTATTTATTTGAACTCCTACTGTGTGGGGAGGCCAGGAAAGGAAGTGAAAGCTGACAGCAGTCTGGAACAGCTGGTGGGGGGGCAGGAAAGGAAGTGGGACCTGGCAGCGAGCCATAACAGCTAGGGGAAGCCAGGAAGTGAATAGAGCAGTTTGGAACAACTAAGAGAAATGAACTTGTCTGTCAGTTTCTCATACTGCGGTGGTTTGCGTGTTGCTGTGAGGTTGGAGGCTATGCCACTGGTGTTTCAAATGCCAGCAGGGTTACCCATGGTGGACAGGTTTCAGCAGAACTTCCAGATTAAGACAGACTCGGAAGAAGGAAGAGGCCATCCACTTCTCAAAGAATTAGCCAGTGAAAACCTTATGAATAGCAGTGAAACACTGTCTGCTTTATTACTGGAAAACTTTATGAATAGTCCTGAAACATTGTCTGAAATAGTGCTGGAAGATGAGCTCCTCAGGACAGAAGGCACTCAAAATATGACTGGGGAAGAGCTGCCTCCTCAAAGTAGAGCTGACCTTAAAGATGTGGGTAGAGTAAAGCTCTCGAGACCTCCATTTGCTGATGTGGCACAACTCAAAACAAGAAGAAACAGCTGCAAACATTAATTAATAACAGGAATGTAGAATGTGGAATGTACAAAGTATGAATCTAGGAAAATTAAAAATTGTCAAAAATGAAATGGAATGCATAAAGATTGATATCCTAGGCATTAGTGAGCTGAAATGGACCAGTTTTAGCCATCTTGATCTACTATGCCAGGAATGGCAAATTGAAGAGAAATGCCTTAGCATTCATTGTCATAAAGAATGTTTCAAGATCTATCCTGAAGTACAATGCTCTCAGTGATAGGATAATATCCATATGCTTACAAAGAAGACTGGTTACTAACCACCAAAGCCAAAGATAAGGAAATTGAAGATTTTTGCCAACTTCTGTATCTGAAATTGACCAAAAATGTAATCAAAATGAGTTGATTATCACTGGTGATTGGAATGCAAAAGTTGCAAAAAAAAAGAAGAATCACCAGTATTTGGAAAATATGGCCTTGGTGATAGAAATAACACTGGAAATTGCATGATAGAATTTTCCCAGACCAAAAACTTATTCATTGCAAATACCTTTTTTAAACAACACAAACAACACAAAGCTATACACATGGACATCACCAGGTGGAGTACACAGGAATCAGATTGACTACATCTGTGGCAAGAGGCAATGGAGAAGGTCAATATCTTCAGCAAAAAAAAAGGCCAGGAGCTGATTGTGGAACAGACCATCAACTGCTCACATACAAGTTCAAGTTCAAATTGAAGACAATGAAAA